GCATAGACTTTGGATTTACTCGTCAACATTTCCTGAGCCGAAGTGTAATTCACGGAATTGTTGAGTTGATGGTGATGATGATGATTTATCGAAGAGTTTTTAGTTCAGCCCGTTCTTAACGACAACAAATTGGTCTTCTGCATATGTTACCCACAATTTAGGGTTAACTGAAGATCCTTAGAGCCCACTTTTCCCATTGTCACTTTGGCAAGATATTGGTGGCCCCTTTGAGCAGCTCATAGTATTGGCGGTCAGACAAAAATTTGGTTTCTAAACAAGACTCAATATTCAAAAGAAGAAGAAGCGATCACTGGAACAACAGGTTTATTGTTCTAACGTTTCGTATTCCGTCGGGAATCCTTAATCATAGGTAATAGTAGAACAGTCTGAGAAATGCGCAGACTCAGACTGTTCTACTATTACCTATGATTAAGGATTTCCAACGGAATCCGAAACGTTAGAACAATAAACCTCTTGTTCCAGTGATCGCTTCTTCTTCTTCTTCTTCTTCTTCTTCTTCTGAACTGCTTCCTGGAACTCGCATATTTTATTCCATTGGTAAGGCTCAATGTGTTTAAGAAGGACAACTGTGGGAATCTCCGTGTCATTGGATGTTAGGACTTTGTCTGTGCATGGCCGTGCTACATCTAATGGCATGCATACGAACAGAGAAAGGACCTCGAAGGAGACCATTGTTTCATCATCATGGATGCTCACCTAGAAGTGATGTACTTCGGTGCACCGATTAACGTTACTGCCGTTCGCAATGGGACTTCTGGTAGGTGATATTTTGGCAATCTATAGATCTTGACCAAACTTAGTTGGGCTTGTCTTTGGAACTTTTTAATACCTATTGAGGGTTCATGCATACCCGTGAAATGCTTAACACTTTGTAAGTATATTAAATCTGCCCTTGGTATGATTCACGGAGAGATACCTATACTTTCGCTATCTCCTATGGAGATCGCTCTTGGGACCCCCGAATCTGCCATGTAGTCCGGTTTAATCTGCCTGCCTGTATCTGCAACCCCGTACAGAAACCGCATACTCGTAGGACAACCCAGGCAGATTACATAATGACTAGGTGAAGACGAGAAAGCTGGTAAGCTCATGTTCCCATCTGCCCTACTTGTTATTTATTACCCAGCTACTGACACATTTATAGTATAGAATATACCAATGCTAGTTGATTCTAGATCAGATTGCTCTCTTATTGGACATTAGACGTACTCTAAACCTCAAATAAGTTAGTTACAGTGGTAAATGGAACCTTTGCCTGAAAGCGGCATATGGCATCATGCAATATAGAGGCATGATAGCAATTGATCTATGAATTAATAACGTTTCGTTAACCCATATGATGCAACGGCTTGGTGGATTGAGGTGAGGGGGCGGAAACCAAGGCAAGCCCTGCTTTATTTCCGGCCTCAAATATGTATTTACTCGGAATAGCATAAATCCAGATTCATACTGCTTGTTGAGGTCGAGGGAGTATGAGCCCCAGCATTGACTTTAGTCAGTGTCACTCCTGGTTAATAGTAATAGTGACAGTATTACTAACACTCAGCCCCTAGTATAAGTAGTATTAGTAATAGTATCAGGGCATTAATTATCGGACTATTTCTATCGCAAGGCACCAGACACAGCTAAAAGGAGATGGTACACTGAAGCTATGCGTTGTTCATCGCAAGTCAGATACTGTAATAAGTTTGCAGTTAGCCTACACTACATTGCGCTATAAAATGATGGTAGAAAATTGAATTGTTCTT